ATATGGACTGGGCGCAGCCATCTTCACTAAGGATATTGAGCGGGCGCACCGTGTGGCCGCCGAGATCGAAGCAGGCATGGTCTGGATTAACAGCAGCAACGACAGCGACTTCCGCGTCCCCTTCGGTGGCACCAAGCAAAGCGGTATCGGCCGTGAGCTGGGTGAGGCCGGATTGGAGGCCTACTCGCAGGTCAAGGCTATTCATGTCAACCTCGGATCCAAACTGTAATGTAATGCATGGCAAGCCCATTGATGATGTGTAACGTTTTGTATATAGGATAGCCAGATGCCAGTTGAATTAAAAATTACAAAAATAGCCAGTTTATCCAGCAAGCAATCATGTAGACAATCCACCAACGAGAGACAAGATAGAGCATAGTAAACATACTCGTAAACACACCTGGCACATCATATTCAACCCAAACCAGAGGATAAGAAACGTGGTATACCCACATTGGACCCAACAACCACAACCACCTACATCAAATCCAACCCCTACCCGACAAACTCTCATCTCACCTTCAACACAATAGGCACATCACAAACACTCTCCCACCTTAATCACACACAGACACACAAACATACATACATACATACATACATACATACATAGTATATACGTACACAACACCAACCAAACCCAAAACCCCCCAACAAGCCACCACGATTCGCCACCCCCCCAAGCCTACATGCATGGCCCCAAGCAAGGACTGCACATCATGCCGAACCGCCTAACAAGGCACGTATACATACATACTCGTCCAGCTTAATCGAGATATCCCATCGCCTAGCCGTGCATACAGTTTTGACCCCACAGCGAGAGTGAGAACCCAGGCTTCGCCACGCCGAATATACGCGCGTCGCTTCAATCGTTCCGGCCTCAGCTGATCTGGTTTTCTTAGAGCATGGGGTTGTCATATGTGTGGGGGTTGTTGCTGAAGGGAGATCTAATTAGATCTATTACTAGTACTAACTTGGGGGAACTTTATCTAACTTGGATATCTTGTAATAATAATGAGTTAGTACCAGATACGATGATCTAGTCGGGGTGAATCATAGCCAGAATGATGCTCTGAACTATCTATAGACTGGGTACACCTGGAGAAAAAGCTCAAAGGACAAAAGATGACAAGTTTAGATGATCTACTACGAGTACCAACATATATATCCATCTGATACTCAATATATATATTTATATAACTAGTACATGCATGATCACGCGCAGATAAGATCATTAGTCCAATCCCTATTCCCCAAGCCGAGATCAACTGTGCCCAATAAAACAAGCCTAGAGATCTACATCTCCAACCAGATCCAAAGTGCTTTTGGGATATGCTCTGTGAGTGATGAGGGATCGGGGGTGTGTCCAATGGGGCGCTGTTGGCGGGGTTTGGTTGAGGTGAGATGGTAACACTAACTAACACTAACGCATGTTTTTTTTTGTGTGAGCAACCGGTGAAGGGAATAATGAAAAGAGGTGTATTTGATGTGATGCTGGACAGAGTTTGGAATGTATTGGCGGTAGTTAACTACTCGTAGTTGCGTTGCGTTGCTCTTGCTTTATGTAAGTGACCACGTGAGATGTGTTGGTACCCGATCTTGGGATCTACATTTTGACTACTTTTGGTGAGGGTTTGAAATATTGGGGGTTTTTGAGGGAGGCATACGGGTGAATTTGGGTAGGAAGGGGGGTTTGGAACTTGGATAGAGTCTTTCTGTGAGAAAGGGTGATATGGATGTCTCATATATATTGATGGAGGATTGAAGACCCCGAGTCTGTACGTAGCTAGCTACATGAGATGCCCAAGTATAGATCTCACATCCTGGTCGAATGCAATGCAGGGTCAGCAAGTGTAAGTTAATTAATTTGCTACCCGTCGCCTGCAAACTACATAGCATACATCACTCGGTACCCACTATGACCAAGTCTACTTCCTAACCACCGTGGTATACATTCAACGGAAGTCAAAACGAGACACACAGCACGACAACTCAACATCTACACGTCGGGATCCCCAATCAGGGACACCCACCTCGCCCCCAAACAACGAATGCATCCACACACCTAGGCTAGATGCACGACAACAATCACTACCACCTCAGCTTCACACCTTTGTGTTCGTAGGGACAGGGACAGATCAGTCAGGTAGTACTCTCCCTCGGTACCTAATAAAGACCTAACCCGAAGAGAGGTAGTGGACTGAGAAATTCCTGGCGCACCAGCCAATCCACAGCCACATCCATTCAGATGGAAAAAGCAGAGAGAGAAAAAGAGAGGAAAATCGCGGCAATCAGAAAATACCCCGCCAATGACAAAAAGCCAAGCGTTGGAATTTTGATGCTGCGGTGTGGTTGGCCCGTCGGTTGGGTTTCTTGAGGTGTCTGTCGTGGCAGCTTTGGAGTGGGATGCTTCCTGTTAGTTGCAGCATGCAGCAATCCTTATTTGGATTTGCTCTTTGGTTGGGCTGCGTGGTAGGCATTTTGGCGTCTTTATTTGCTGTGGAGGTCCATCTTGCCTGCACCTGAGGACTGCCTTCATGGCGTGATTCGATCGTGGAAAGGGGGATTGTGGGATCTCATTCTTATCTGGCGACGGATTTCATGCAGTAGGGGGAAAACAAATTCAAAGAAAAAGAAAAAAGAAAAAAAAAAATTACTAAAAAAAAGAAAAAGAAAAGAAAAGTAAAGGCTGAAGGGTCTGAGAGTGGGTTTCGACTGGATTTCAGTCATGAGTTTTTGGTATTCAGTACGTCTGATACCGATACTGGTACCGTCTGGAACGGTACGATACAAGATCACCTTCTCATGCATCCATCATGTAAGTTACGAATTGTGTCTTGCATTGCATGAAGAATTGATCATGTGAGGCTGCCTACCTAAATCCCATTTTCATCCATCTGCATGAGGCCTCCTCGAAGCTTCAGTATAGAACGTATGTATATCGGTCGATGCCTGTTCGATTATCATTACCGACGCACCGGATTTGGATCCGCTCTTAACGGTCGGACAGTGGAATTCCAATTCTTGAGGCAGGACGGAGAAGGATGGATACGCTGCTGCGTCCTACGTGAGCTGACTCTGTACACCGCATTTTCCGCTGCTGCTCAATCTAGTAACTGGGCCCGTGTATTCGTTGGTGGATCACATCAAAATATCAAGCGTCTGGGTTGCCTCTGTAGGTACTCTCAACGGCCCAACAATGCATCCATGTTTGAGCTGGCCGACTCCGCTTCATGGAATTTGTTACCTCGGAAGAAATTAAGGGGGAGGGGGGAGGGGAAAAAGAATCACACCTTCGATCTATCAATATGACAAATACGACCGTTGGCAAGCTTCCTGCACGGCAGACCGACAGTCACAGTCGAAAGCGACTCTGTCCAAAGTAGACTTTGATGCACTGTAGATCCCACTGATGTTGCCGTTTTCTGGTGTACGGAGTAGCTTTAGCACTATTTTGGCGATCACCCCAGAGACCTTTCGGCCGGTTCTCGACCAAGGTACCGAGTATATGCGACACTTAACGTCGTGAGCATTGCCAGACCGCCCTCAATTAAACGAACGGTACTAAGGCAGAGTCACTGAGAATTGCGGCCTTCGCTAGACTTCTAGCGTTAGTAGCACAGACAGCCTATCCACTGCCGAACTGAATGGTCTCGCCGCCCTGGTAGAGCTCCATCGAAGGAATTGGAAGAAGTCTAGTGGGCCGCTTCATTCTCCGGTTCTGTACGCACGGAATAGAAGCACTCCCCAGACATCTGAGCATGTCTGACCGCAGGCCAGCAATGCAGGGAGAGGGCATTGTGGTGGCAAAGGCCGTAGGAGACGCACAAAGAACTGGTGATCAATGCAGTAAGCAATGCAAACCTGTCATTTAACGGCTGTACGCCAGAATCCCCAGCCGGTAAGGCAATCTGCGCCAAAAGTCCGGGACCTTGGGACCCTGTCCGTCGTGCCGTGTCTGCAACCAGGGAACCACCAGGGACGAAAGTGGAGTCCTCCAGTCGCAAGGCGACCTCAGTTCTGTCACGCAGCTTGCTTAAGGCTTGGGATAGACCTACCGGCAGCTAATTCTTTTCCACACTGTCCAGCTCCAAGGAGGAAAGGCCGGATGAGTTCCTATTTGCTGATATGACCCCGTTTTCTGATTTCTCCACCCGAGGTCCTAGTCTGGAACAAATGAGGCGTAACACGGGAAGTTTGCCGCACCGTGGCCACGGTCCCCAAGACGCGCGCACGGTGGAAGTCCCAGGCGGCAGTTTTTGATTAATCGAACGCATCAAGCAACAGATTGAGTGATTTCCTCTTGTATTACTCCCCCTTCCAGGTTCTATGACCACGTTTGTTGTCTCGCATTGTTTATCCACATGACGTGTGATAGCCCCATTTTGTGGATACGTGTCCTGGTGCAGATTTCCCAATAATCATGTCCACCAAAAGTCCAATAGCTTGAGAAGCAATTGGCCCGGGGAATTATCCTGCTGAACCGTTAAGGATCTTGGGGCGTACTTTTTCCCCCCTGGTTTTCCAAAATTTTTTTTTTTTCCTTATTTTTTAATTTTCTTTTTTTATAACCTTGTCTACCCACTCCTCTTTGGCGACCAGCTGCGTCAATGATACCTTACAATATACCGAAACAAAAAGCCACCAACTCCTGAAAGAGTCATTTCTGGGGCTAGTTCGCCAAAGGTACTTTCGCTTCAATGGAAACAAATCTCATCGTCGGACACTACTCCGAGGAAAGCGGTGTATGGAATCCAGCGGGATGGACCCGTCGTAGTACCACTCGCACCAGTACTAGGCTCACCGGGGACGACCCGCTGATAGGATGATTTATGCGTATCAGAAACGGAGTTGACCTTAGTGAGAGTAAGAATTCCCATCGATCAGTCATGTGGGGTGATTGTCTTGGCGCCCACAACCACGACACTGGATAAGTTAGTCCCCTCAGAGAATCTGGTCAGACTATTGAATCGATCCTCGTCCCCTTTTGGCTTCTCACCAGTCACAACGCACAGCCCAAACAATCCACGTTCCTCCAAGGTTATTGATAGTAACCATCTATCTTTGGTTACCCTCGGCTCGTTTCCTTGTCCAGGGTCCAGATCCAGCGCCTTCAGTGTGGTACCGTTCAGATCCCGAAATCAAAGCACGGCCTCCTGCGTTAAGTAGTTTGATTAATCAAATTATCATCATGTCAACGTTCAAGAAATGGACGGTCTCTGAGGTAGGAATCTGAACACCCTGTGCGGTATTGCCACGGGCGGGAGAAGCGTAAATAATGGATTCATTCTCACTTTTCAACCATTAGCCGTACATCGATATCGCAGGGACCTTGTTGGAGGGGCCATTCTATGACGAACCTAGAAATGAGTTTCGTTTTGTTGATATCTGGGAGCAGAAGTTCTATGTGGTGGACTTAGCCAAAGGCCCAGACTCGTTGAAGACTATTAATACGTCTGCTTCAATCGGGTGCGTGTACAGACACCCCTGCAGCTGTAGCTTTCCCGGCAACCTTGAACTGATCGGCGAAACGTGAGATTAGGGTAACTGCCAACATCAAAGATTCTGGCGATGCCTACAACGGCCAGATAATCGTAGCCGCAAAACATGGGTATGCTCTTCTCGACCGCGCCACGGGCCAGCTCTCGTACATCTCCAAGGTTTGGGATGACCAGAAGGACCCAGAAAGAGCCCGCATGTGAGTGAAATCCAAGTTTGCTCAGCTACTGTTCGTAAAGTCTGACTAAGCGGATTCACCCAAAACAGAATGCGTTTCAACGACGGGGCGGTCGACAGCCATGGGCGGTTCTGGGCTGGTTCAATGAATGACCCCAAAGTGCAGTCCCCGGTCAACGAGGCTGTTCTCTTCCGACTGGACCCCGACATGACGGTACACCGTATGGTTGAAGGTCTGACTATCCCCAATGGGATTGGCTGGAATCATGCGGACGATACCATGTACCTGACCGACTCACCCACTGGCAAAATTTACGCGTTTGACTTTGACGCCCAAACCGGTGAGATCAGTAACCGTAGAGTCCACTTTGATTTGGGAGAGCCAAAGGAACCCGATGGTTTTGCCATTGATGCCGAAGGTGTATCTGGAGCGCCATCTACGGGGGTGGTAAAGTCATCCGTATCTCGCCGGAAGGGGAAGTCATTGGAGAAGTGTCGCTTCCCACGAGAAACATCACCTGCCCGATCTTTGTGGGGACCGAACTACTCATCACCACCGCCAAGGATGACACCGATGATGAGCAGTTCCCGAACTCAATCCGGTATGGAGGGCGAGTCTATAAGGTTGACGTGGGAATCAGGGGCAAGCCCAAGAATGAGTTTCGATTCCAAAACTGATGTACGTACTCCGTATAGCATGGTTGGTAGTGTGGAGGACGAAGCAATGGCCACTCAACCCTAGAGAAGATCAATCAGATACCATTTGAGAGTCCTCCTGCGGGGCCATCACGTCGTCCATCAGGAAGTACCCTGTTTACCTATAGATAGTGACTCAGATATGTTTGCCGAAGCTGAAACACTTCCTTGTTTTCGGAAAGGGAGATTCGAATAGATTCTTTTTCAGAACAGAAACCCGGGTTGTTTTCCGGAGGATCGCAGATGGGCAAATGGGAACAGCCACAGCAGGTCATCGAGTCCTTGTGCGACCAGTACGTTTGTTCCTCAAACTATTGGGGCAATTCCTTGGTCGAGTGGTTTCTGGATTCTTGGCGTCGATGCATATGGAGTATTCGCCGAAGGTGATCCCCTTGCAGTAGTCCATTTGCTCTTCGGAGCCAATATGAAGATGTTTGTGTTGGGTGTAAGATGACGGCTGATGGCTGCAGATTGGGCTTACTTTAGGTGCGGGAGTGACCGCAGCCTCGAGACAGCACCCAATAAGGTGGAAGGCGACGCACGTACTTTTCAAAACGGGAAAAGCAAGCTGAAGAATCCCTCGTATATGTATCATGTAAGACGGGATCCATTTTGTACCCCAAGAACATTTGAAACTACATCGGCCTCTATTTCTATTTCTATCCTTTTTCTTTTTTTTTCTTTTACCCCCCGTGTGATTAAGCATACAGTCGGCCGAGATCGGGTGGAGAGCCATACATCGAAAACGGACAGGGTATCATTTCATGGTCGAACCAGATAAAAATGATTAATCACTTAAAGCCGAAGCCAATGCAAAATGCAAGAAGAACCTTCTCAGGGGATATGGTTAGTATGTGACAGAGAGGTCAAAGTTTAAGCCGGCCCGGGACAGTCCATCTAGTATGTTCTGCATACATACAGTATGCCGGGTACGAGGGAGAAAGGAGCTTCGTAATCCATACGGAGAGTAGCTGAGTGAGACGCATACACAATCCCAGTTCTACATTTAACCGTCTGGCAGACCCCCTGTCCACTATAATAGCATTGTTCTGTGAGTAAGTAAACAGATGCAGCATGCATAAAGGATCTAAAAGATCGGATGTAGTATGGTTGTCCCGCGCAAAGCCCGAAAATCTTCTCAGTTCATCCGGTTCAAAGGTTGGCAGAAGGCAAGTGTGACCTATGACAGTGCATGCATATCCCGCACATACTGTGGGATTTAGGTCAAAGTTTGACCTAGGCATCTAAGAATCCCATTGAAGGGTTCCTCGGGACAGCACACCATCAGTGGGTCTCCGGGATGCAGGATGATGCTGACACTCGTGCAAGGCTTGGGGCGTTAATGTTATCTTCAGAGGCCTTGTCTTTTTATCTTCGTATATTGCCTCTTTGCTTCTGGGGGTTATTGAATTAGCTGTTTACCACGTATCGAATCCACAACCAAGTGGACCAGGGTCAAGGTTTAACATCAGATAATATCGGATGTAGTGGTTGGGCCGTAGATTATAATTGGATGTATTATGTACAGCACATACAGTCTTTTTCAGTACGGAGTAAACAGTGGAGCCCATAGTGTTCTTTTTACTTTTTGCTTGTTTTTCTGTACTGTTATTTTTATTTTTATTTTATTCTATTTTTTTCTGTTGCAATTCCCTCTTTTCAAGATTGACAAACCTAGGGAGAGTACTGTCTATCATTTTAATATAAGTGCCATGAGTCCCATTGGACCTATCAATTATCGGTGGGATTTAACTGGCGCATACAGCGGTACCGAAGACATGCACTTGGGATTTAGGGGCGCAAGAGAGAGGAGAAAATACAGAAAGTGAAAAAGCAAAAGTAAACCAATCTATGACTAAAATTTCTATCTGCAATGATGCGATCAAGTGCCAATAATAAAGATACTATGACACCAGATTGGTGAGGAGAGTGGATAATTAGTTTATCTTCGCATGCTGTCGTCCGATAAAACTTCGAGAAAGACGAAAGAGCCCACCTCGTATCCATCTGCCTGTCATAACAAAAAAGGTGATGGCTCCGGAGTGAATACAGTTTTAAGCGGGTAAGGCCGCGAACCACATTCTTGGGAAAACCGCCTGAGTGACAAGGCGTCGATACATCCTGCGGAGCTGGTGCTACTTCATGCAATCTGCGCCTACGCTCATATACTAGTAGGTGCTCACACCACCTCTGTCTCCATCGCCACCCTCCCCTCCCCCAATTCCTCGTTCTCTTTCCCTTCTCATTATTTCGTCTCTGACAGTTCAAGGTTCGGTAATCTATAACTAGACCAACCAACTTCCAAAAAAGCCACGGTACCAGGCGGAAACTAATTCCGGTACTCTCTCTTCCGCACATGGCAGATACGAAATGGATAAATAAATTGACTCCACTTCCCGCAATAGTGGTAAAAAAGAAAAGGAAAAAATAAAAAACAAAATAAAAACCAATAAAAAATAGAGGGTAAAACCAAGAAGCTGGTACGCGTGATTTAACTAGCTTTCTTTAAGTACTAATCTGCCACGCGCTGTATATCTTGACGCTAACGGCGATAGCAAGGTCTCTATCGAAGAAGGAATATAATAGCGTGCGTATGGCACGACCGACCATGTGGCCTGGAAAGAGCATGACCCGCAACCATCCCATGAAAACCATTTCGCGTTTACCTGTCATTCCAGACCACGCATTATCCTCGCTCCGGCCCACACGATCTACCATCACCCGTTGTTAACTCTTCTGTCTACTGACACTAATACTAAACTGAGTTCCCCTTTGGGAAGCCCGGGAACCCGCTATTTGTGACGTTAATCATTCCCTAAGTCGTCCATGGAGATACCGGGTTTCAACCTCCAATGAAGGCCGCAGCCTGCAACACTTGACGTTTTGCGTCCACGCGAAACTAAAATGTGTGATGCTGGTCGTCTAGCTGGCTGTAGGTGGGTGATTCACTGACACTATGCCACTAATTGAAGGAAGCCACACTCCGTAACCCTTGGAGCACGACCCGAGGCGCTCAAAATTACGCTTTCGAAATTTTGGCCAATAGTGCGTTAGATCCTCAAAGTATTTCCTAAACTCACTGCAGGTAATTTGCTGGTCTTCTGCAGAAGATGGAGCTCACTTGATCCTTACCGACCTTGTTCGCTTTAGAGGTCCATTGCTGGTAGGTTTTTTTTCTTTTTTTCCTTCTCATTTTTAATCACTTTTCTACTTTTTCTTGCCTGTCCTTCTCCCCCACTGCTACATACATCAGTTGTCTATTGTATGCCGTATGCTTCTCCTGTAGCTGCATAAAATCGTCCTTTATTCCATCGGTCTATCACTTGCTCTCAAAGCCATAGGGGAACCAGGGCCTCTAGACTTTTTTTCTTTTCGTTCCTTTCCTTTCCTTTTATGGAAGAGAGCGGTAACAACGGCTGATGGGTTAATTCAGGAGTGAACAAAAGACCGCCACTACCCGCTAGCGGTGAGAGGCAATATGGTTGGGTTGCTCCCTCTGACATTGTGATCTCATTACTTTCTTGAGTCAATCTGTGTTTTATATGTAGTGTTGCTGTATGAGACATGCAGCCTCAGCTTGTTCATTTGACAAGACGCATACTGATGCGGTATGTTTAGGAAGTTAGTTACTGATCATTATACATAGTTTCGGGCTGTGTCGTATAGCCTGCAGATCGCTACGTTTGCAGGTCGAGGTCGATTCTCTCCCTTCAGTGTCAGCGGTTTACCCTCCCCTGGGCAAGAAAACTTGCCGTAACAATCCGTACTAACCATCTTTAATCGGAGTACCGGTATGTTGGAACGTGCATCTGTCCTGGATTCCCCGAGTCTTTGTTACCAGAAAAGAGGCGTGGGACTTGGACGAGGCATCGCTTTCTAAACCTTGTTGAACTGCCTACACTGCGATTGATGCCCAATGACGTAGCCGAGACAAATATACCAGGTTCCGCTCCAACATGCCTTCAATGCGCAACCAAGGCGGAAAAGGCAAGCAGGATCCCCCTCGTGGGCCACTCAGGAGAGGAGAGGAGAAGTCGATGATAATACCCCCCTGTTAATGATTCATTTGATTCGAGAGGGTAGCGTACCACCAAGATCAATCCTTTCTGTACTGCAGATGAACAACTGGGAACAAGAGCTCTGCCAAGCATCCGGCCGTATAGGTGCCTTGCCTCTTGCGAAAAGATCCAGCTATGACTTGCGAAAGGGCAACTGTCAGAACCAAGAGATGACGGAAGGTGGGGGCAAACAATTAAGGAGAAGGGCAACGGCGATCAGCAGAGGTCTTGAAAGTCAATTAGTGCACTTTAGACCGTCAACACGACTCGCCAAACTTTGGGGCCAAAGTGAAGCACACTGCGTACACAACATTGTGATTCGAATTAGTTGTTGATCCAAAATGGGAGCCTATGGTCTCCGCCCTATTTTTTCGGCTCTAAGCTCTTCAGGGATCTTTGTTTGGTTGCTTTCCTCGCAATGACTTGCCTTACAGCGTCAAACTTAATCGTTTTGAGTGGACAGATAGAAGCACAGGCCAGATGAAACTGCCTAGAGCCATGAACGACCAGCCAGTCGCTACTAGAAGCTTGTTAGCGGCAGCCGGTGATGAAGCTACCGGTATTCTCTGTATTATGAAATCACCTTGATCATCGGTTGAACTAAATAACACGAGTCAGTCACACGTCAGGCATTCATCTTAACAAGATTGGGTCATTAGTACTACCTGATATAGCCGGTCCCGAGACAAATTAGAAGCACCGAAGAATATTAGAACTGTGAAAGAGGATATCTTTCTGCTAAGATCAAATGCTAAATGCGAGCGGTAACTGCCAGAGACGTGTGGATTTCGGGGAATCTTTGGAGAAAGTGACAGAGCAGTGAGACATTGGCTCTGTGGCAGAGCATTCCAAGACACTGGTAAGACTATTATTTTTGGACAAGACGAAGTTGAAACTTATTTCCGTG